AATTCTGCCTCTAGCCTAGCTGACATGGCTACTACAGCCTGACCTGCATGCATAGACTGACATACTTCTTAGAAGGTTACTAATATCTTGCCCAACCTTTCTCTGTGTCTCTCTTTGGTTTACCTGAAACATAGATTGCTCAGACATTGTTAGTTTATGGAATTCAAGCAATAACTGTACCTAATATTGCATTTAAATTCTGCCTATAAGGTCTGTAAGGATGAACTCTCAGTTCATCCATTCATTTAAAAGAACACACTGAATAACAGTATCTACCTCTCTGGACTGTTGTGGACACGGGGATGAGATGAGGTATATGGAAGAGTCTCACACACATTCAGCACTCAGTAGTACAAGCTTCCATTTCCTTCTGCAAATGGGTGTGGCTAGTTTGTCCCAGAGAAATTGGTGTTTATAGGAGACCAAAATCTATGCCATCTGTAGTAACTTGATATTGATTAGGAATCCAAACTGAAAGCCATTAATATGTGGCACAGATTTGGTTTGAGATTTTTGATCTCAGAAATTTATTCTATTTTAGAATTTGTAAAAACAGATAGCTTTTGTTCATATCATTACTTATTAAGTAAAAATGACAAAACATATAGTTTAGGTGGCTGAGGAGAAGGGCTGGGATTTTTTTTAAGAGTTCATATTGGTAATGTTCTCTTGAATAATTCATATACAGCTTATATTTTGTTTTTATCATGTATAGACACATTCATCTTTGCACACAAATGTAAAGCTATCTTATCAAATGAATGTGCATATTAATGATCTCTAAACCAAAGTAGGTGACTACCTTATTTTACAAACTTTATTTTCTGATGTATTTATGTCCGTGTGTATGTGCATATGTGCATTAGTGTTCCAGGGCTTACAAAGACCAGAAGAGGGCATTGGATCCACTGGAGATGGAGTTGCAGGTGGTTGTAAGCTGCCTAACTTAGTGTTGGAAAATCAAACTTGAAGTACGGTCTTTGGCAGAATCAAGTCTTTAAAGTTTTTTCCTACTGTGTTTTAAGAGATGAGCTAGCTAAAGTGTGGCTGCTCAGGGCCTCAAGAGGAGGGATGAGATGATAAGAGTCAGGCCAGCCATCATCAGGGATCAGGATGGGAAATTAGGTTGCTAACCCCAAAGCTATTCCGTTTTGTCCATTAGTTCCATGGCCTTGAGCAAATCTTAGCATCTTTCAAAGCTTTGGTTTCTCTATCCATAAAATGAGGCATCTTTAGGCTCTCTTCATTTCTGAAATCCCACAGATCTTTGAGGACAAAAATGGAATGCAAGAATCGCCTGGCAGGAACAATGTGCAGGCTCGGTGAGCTTGCCTCTTGGTACTTACGCCTGGATCTGAAGACTAAAGCATTCTCTGAAACCTCAAATTGAGCAAATTAAGGTACAGCTGAGTATTAGTTCAAACAAAACAACCTGCAACTGATAGGGAGCGATTTCATCGTGTCTTAGGGTTTCTGTTGCTGTGAAGAGACACCACGACTACAGCAGCTCTTATAAAGGAAAACATTTAATTGGGGTGGCTTACAGTTCAGAAGTTTAATCCAGTATCATCATGGCAGGACATAGCAGCATGCAGGGGGACTTAACAGCGTGCAGGCAGACATGGAGGTGGAGAAGTAGCTGAGAATCCTACATCTTGATTCACAGGCAACAGGAAATGAACTGTGACACTGAGCATCACTTAGGAATAGGAGACCTCAAAGCCTGCCTCCACAATGACACACTTCTTCCAGCAAGGTCATGCCTACTCCAGAAAGGTCCTATGCCAACAAGGCCATACCTCCTAATAGTGCCAGTCCCTTTGGGGACCATTTCCTTTCAAACCACCACACATCATGACTTTTCTTCTAATTTTACTCTTTGTACATTCTCACTGTTAGTACAGAACCACAGGATCTCATGGGGTGACTTGAGGAGAATTGTAGATAAACCAATAAAGGGAAAGGCCCGCTGAGGGTACGCTTGGCAGCAATGGCATGTGTCCATAGGAAGCTTATTCAGTTTCAGCAGAGAACTAGATACCCTGGTGAGGAGTAAGGAGGAATCCCAACAAGCAAACAAAGTCAGGAAAGGCAATTTTCAGAAAAATATGTAGCCAATGTTGCAGGTCATTTCCTAGACAGAAAGAGAGGATCATGGAAATAATAAATAATGACTTGCATGATTTTCTCTTAATTCTCATGGCAACGATAATTTTGCTCCCTCTGTTTCAAAGTTTCTCTCTCCAAGGGCAGAACGGCATCTCTGTGAAAGCGATCTTTTTCCCTTTTAGATAATTTGTTCCAGTTTCAGTTGATTGTATTAGTCACAGGTTTCAGTTTTCATCCATGAATTGAAATACTAATTTTTGACAGCGGTCAATCATCTGACTCTGCTTTATGTCTAGAGACCAGAGCTCTGATATTCCTTGACTCTGAAAATACCATGCTTCTCTGGAATCTTTTTGCCCAGATGCACAACTTTCATTTGTCTTTAGTAGTCTACTATCAAACCCCCTCTCTTTACGGTACACTACTGTGGCCATCCTCGCACCCCCAGAGCTGTCTTCATGAGCACGGCTGGGGTTGTATTGTCTTGTTTGTCTCCTTCATCACCTAACTCAAAAGTTATTCATGCTCTACCATTCAAAGCCCCACTCTTTAGTCTTCAAGCTAAGTGTCACAGCAGAGTTGATGAGAGATTAGTGTGAGCATCATGTCTCCTCCTTGGGAATGTTGGTTCCTTTCCGTGTTCTTCTTAAAGAGTTTGGGCACCCTGCACCTCTGGAGCCACTAAGCAAGCCCAGCCAGTCCGATTAAATGCTGCTTCTCTGACACTGCCACCAACTTGTCTGTGTAATTTCACATGACAGCCACATCAGACACCTGATAGAACATTAGCATCTAGGAAGAAAAATGAAAAAAGAATGATTTTTTTTCGATTGCTTCTAGACTCAATCAACTCTGCTGGCATTCTGTTGAGCCTCCATGATGGTTTTATTATGCTCCGTGATATGCTTCATCACGCTTTTAATAACTGGCTGGTAATCACTCTCTTGACTCTTGGTTGCTATGTCTAGTTTCATGAGTTGAGGAGGAACAATGTCAGTAAAAACACTAGTCTGTGACTCCGAAAGAAACCAAAGCAGACGGTATTTGTCACAGTGAGTGGAGAGAGTACAGAAAAAGCGCAATAATTTTAAGGGTTAACCTTATTTTAACAAAGCATAAATTGAAGCCAAAAAGGCCAAATAAAACTTCCCTCAAAAAATTCATCGGCAAAATAAACACTTTTTATTTTTTTAATGTCAGGTTACTCAATCTATTTCTACGCCTAGAACAATCAAGCAAACGCTTGGAAAAAAAAATTCAGTCAATTCTCTGCTCTTCTCCTTGTTTTCGAGTCATGTGGATTTACGGTGCATAAAGCTAGCATGCTGGACGTCTGCCTTTTAAGATGAGTTGTTCTGCTATGATTAGAGCTGCTACAGCATCCTATCTGGAAGGAAGCCGAGCTGTGTGTTGCTCCAGAGGAAAAGCTCAGCCATACCATAAAGACAGTCTGTGGTACCACTGAGTCAGGATCTTGTTCTGAGGACAGATGTCCTTGACTAAGTCAAAGGGGACAGTCAATAATTCTGGAGAGATGTTTGTTGTATCCCTACAATACATGACCTCAGCAACTGCTGCTTCTTAGACAGAGAGACATGAAAGATGAGATATAAGAATCACCTTGGTAGAAATAAGATGCAGTTGAATGGCGTATAATGCCAATGAACTCCGAGGTCAAATGTCTTACAACCCTGACAGGTTACCATCCTTTGCTACCCAGACAGGCAAGTTTCAGCATTATAAACTACTAATATCTATAACTAACTTTGTCCAACAACTCTAAGAGGTAATAAAGTTAAGGCTTAACCAGATCAAGAGAACTGTCTATAGACTCTAGCTTACCAGTGACAGAATCAACCGACATCCAGAATTTGATCTCTGGATGCTATTATATGCCCTTCACCCCTATGCTGCATGGCGGCTTTATTCGCCACTTCTCAAAATACGTGTGTGTGTGTGTATCTCTGTGTTAAATATAACCTAGGTTTAATTCAGGTGATTTGTATGTATATGCATGTGGAGATATTTGCTGTATCATGGACAACTTACTAGGAGCTACCTTGAAGAAAAATGACTCCCCATCTCTAGTAACCATTAATTCCTCAGATGGGGGAGGGCCTCAGGTTCCCCTCCGCCATCCATGCTAGACCATGGGTGGGCTCTGTCTTGCTCAGGTCCTGTGTACATAACCACAGCTTCTGAGGTCATGATGCGCCAGTGCTGTCAGGTCCAGGAGACAGCGGTTCACAGCCTTCCTCCCATCCTCCTCTTTCCTATGATGCTCCCTGAGCCTTGCAGGGAGGGAGGGCATATGTGTATGTCCTGTTTGAGGCTGAACACTCACAGACAGTCAAACATTTTAAGCAGTTATGAATGTCTGCATTAAACACTACCCTCTGCAGAAACAAGCTTCTCCAACCAAGGCTGAGGTAGCATTGACCTCTGGGTATAAACACAAATATTTAGAAGGCCATTTCACAGCATGCTTATTTAGCAAAACAGCAGTAATAGATTCTCCCCATAGGGCTCATGGCCTTCCATGAATTTAGTTTTAAAGGCAAATTGGTCAAGATATTGCTGAGCATAGTGAAACGATTGTACAGTGAGAGGAGCGATGGGTGTGTAATCACGAAGGCCTGAGTGCAAACTGTAACTCTGCTATCATATGAGTGGCCTTGGTGTTGGGAGGATTAGATTAAATAATAAAGCTGAAACAGCTGGCATTATCTGTGATATTTGGCAGTGGCATAATAATTGCTACCAGCTCTATTAGCTTTGCACCACTGGAGCAAAATATCTGAAGAAAATCATATTTAAAAAAATAAGGGTGCTCTTTCGGCCATCTTGGAGCCTGTGGAGGCCTGCTGGGAATAGGACTTCTAAAGGACAGTATGTTTGGAAGGCTGTGGTGCAAGGCCACGTTTGCTGGCTGTAAGCGAGGTCTCTGGAACCAGAGAGAGCACACAGCTCTCCTTAAAATTGAAGGCATTTATGCCCGAGATAAAACTGAATTCTATTTGGGCAAGAGCTGCGCTTATGTGTATAAAGCAAAGAACAACACAGTGACACCTGGAGGCAAACCAAACAAAACCAGAGTGATCTGGGGGAAAGTAACTCGGGCCCGTGGAAACAGTGGTCCACGCCAAATTCCTGCAAAGGCCATTGGACACAGAATCTGTGTGATGCTGTACCCATCCCGGATTTAAACCAATGAAAAGTAAATAAATAAAAGTGGATTTGTGCTCTTGTAAAAAAAAAACAAATAAAAAAATAAGGATTTATTTTGACTTCTTGTTTGGAGCTTTTGGTCCCACGGTTGGTTAGTCTTGTTGCTTTGGACCTGTGATAAGGTGGTGTATGCCAGTGGGCACGTGAAGCTTAGGTAGCTACTCACCTGAGGAAGTAAAGGGAAAGAGGAGACTTACATTCAGCTTTGGGAGCACACCCCCTAACAACTTAAAACCTCCACTTGGCTCTATCCAAGGTTGAGGCTGGAGACCAAGGCTTACAGGCATGTCCAACCTTTTGACATTGCCATGAGGTCATCTAAAATTTTTAGCCTTGAGAACTGTGTAATTGAGTTATGAAAAATAGCAACAACTGAAAGACCCTCATAATGTGTGAACCGCTTTGGGTGGGTTACTTAGTCTAGGGGTTGTAACCCACCCTGCAGTCAGTTATTCCAGGGTCCTGGAGAGGCACTATCTGAAAAGACATGAGCAAGAGAGAGGAAGAAGGCCAGGCAGATATGTCAAAGCCTTCGTTTATTAGAGTCAGGGTTACAGCTTATATAGGACAAGGAATTTGGGGAGAGGGCACAGGGGTCTGGGCTCTTGCCACGTGGTTCACATTGGTCACGTAGGTCAGGAGGTTACAAAAGGTCAGGTCACGATTCCTCGGCCAGGAAGTAACAAGTTGACACACCTTAGTTCTCTAGATAGTTTGGAATGTGAGGCGGGTTCCGCTAATAGATAGCTCTCTATTAACAGATAATTGGGAGTGGGATAGGCTCTGCCAATAGAACAATTCTAATTATTGTTAGGAGTGAGTGGGGTTCTCTGCTAACTCCTCAGGGCAATGGTTCCTGTAATAATTTTGGGGGGAAAATGGCTCCTGACAATAATGTTATCAGTAAGTTTGTGATTTTGCATTGCGTTGCATTCGTAGTGATCTTTAGCAATCCATGGCCTGAGAATGGAGAGTTGGCCTCATGAATTTAACACGTGGGCCTTTGGGGAACCCTTCAGATTCAAATGGTAGCACAGCTACCATTTTTCCTGGAACAATCTTCCTGGAACAATCCTAAATTGTATTTCCTATAATTCTCTGGTGAGTGCAAAGCAGCGGGTTTTCTTACCTTGACCGGAAATGGCTTTTTTTTTTTTTCTCTAAGAAACACCCTGTTATCTACCTCAGCTGCCACAGTGCATTTCCTTACAGCATAACTATTGTCCCCACACCCCTTGGAGAGGCTTTCTTTCCTGGGAACAGTCTCAGTCAGCTTGCTCCAATGCACACTTCAGCAGATTCCGCTCTTGATTATAAGCACCCCCACCACGAATCCAGAGTGCACTGGAATAAACAGGAGGTTGCTTGGCATCTGGCAGAAGTGGAGGCCGGTGAAGCATTCCTAATGGAGCCTGAGTCGGGACTGATAAACTCTCCCAGCTCTTGCAGGCCTAGGCAGGCAAGCACATAGTACTTTCTGATGAAGTAGAAAAGTCTACAGAAAAGCTTAAAGCTTCCTTAAAGTAATTCATGTAATATTTTATGACCAAAAGAAGTTATTATTTCTTCTATAGTGTCTCACATCTTGTGCTGCAACCGCCTTACACTTTTAAAACTATGGCTAAATGTCCGGCTTTGATAACATAAAGGTTAAGCTAGCCCAAATAAGTAATCTGACATCAACAAAAGCTGCTATCCAAATAATTGAGAATTATATCATGTAAGCAAAGAACATTTGATGACCTCGCCCGCAGTGCTGGGCTCAATGCCAGCTCTTTCTTCCATGCCACAGGCTTAATGGGGGAGTTGAGTCAGAGATTTCAGAATGAGATCTCTTTTTCAAATTCTGACTTTGTTGAATGACTTTTGGGTAAGTGATTTAACCTCTCTTTGTTTCGCCTGCCTTTTAAGTAAAGCGGATTAATCACACCCTTGCATAAAAGGGCCTTCTTATTTTTACTCATTTAGCAAATATTGATAGAATATTGCAGACAGGAGATAAAGAAGCGAAGTTTCTACCGAAGCCCTCACATTTAGGGCTCAAGAGTCTGCTTGCTTGTAAATTCCCTGTTGGCCCTGGTTTACCACGTGGGGAAGCACAGAATGCTTTCCTCCTGTTCTTGCAGCCCTTTAGTCTGGCCAGGGTCCTAACACCTCCGTTTTGCTCTATCTCGTTAGGCAGATATGCTTCCTCCAGCTAACCGTAGTATGGTAGTTGATTTCCAATGGCATTCCCACCCCTTCACTCCCCCCCCCCCCCGGGTGCCATGGATGGGAGAAGTGTGCCTGACAGACTTAGTTAAGGCCACACTGGCACACAAGTCCTACCCCAGCGCTCCCCCATGTTCCACTGGCTCCATTCTTAAGGGTTTTACCACTGCCCTGGATTTAGCATTCTCGCTTTGCACCTTTAATAGACCTTAGTCCAAGTCTCTGTTCTTCCTTCTGCTCCACACTGCTTTTGCATGTACTGTTGCGGAGACTTTGATTGGACCAGATCCTCGCTGTTCTACCTGGATCACCCCTGGGTGGTGGGCCTGGGCTACAGGAAGAAGCAGGCTGAGTTATCCACAGGGTACCAGGCAGTCAACAACATCTCTCCATGGCCTCTTCTGCAGTCCCTGCCTCCAGCTTCCTGCTTCTCCTCTGGCCCTGACTTATCTCTGTGATGGGCTGTGATCAGGATGCATAATTTAAATGAACTCTTTCCTCCCTGCTGTGCTTTTGGTCGTGATGTCTCCTACAGCCATAGAAAGCAAGCTAGGGACACAGGACTTGAGACAGGCTCTGCTCCAGCAGGTTTGTGGTCAATGCTTTGTTTTACCAATCCTAAATTCTGAAACTCTCAGCTGGACTAACTCATAGCCAGTAAGGGAACAAAATTAGCAGTCTGAATGGTACTGAATCTAAGATCCTGTTGACTGCGAGATACACTAAGACTTTATGAAACAGACAGCAAATATACAGCACCATGCTTCTGTATCAGGAATATTCTTATTCACAGGAAATAATTCTTTTAGGCTTGAATGTTCTGATGAATTGATGTTCTGTCCATTGGATGAGTTGGTTATACTATTCTCGAAGTGTCTTAAAATCTGATTACTTTTTCTCAGGAGTTTGAGTATTCTCTTCTGCTTTTGGTAGACTGTGCTTTGCTCTGGGTGTGTTTTTTTGCCCCCAAGGCTTCATCCTCATCTTGCAGTGTTGAGGTGACAGGACTTTGGAGTAGTGGGGCCCTTGAAATCACTGGGAGGGTTGTCCTAGAAGGGAGTAATGCTGGCGAACGGAGTTAGTTCTTTGTAGAGTTGGTAGGGAGTAATGCTGGCGAACGGAGTTAGTTCTTTGTAGAGTTGGTAGCCAACCAGCAAAGCAACCTTACGTGCTCGGCTGCCTTGAAGGCAATTGTTTCCCTTCTTGCTTCTCTGACAGGAAGACATACTGGGGCCTTACTAGAGACTCTACCATAAGATTAGCCCTTATTCTTAAAAAATATCCCTTGGCGGCGCTGGCGGTGGTGGCAGTAACAGACATATAAACACAGGAAATAGCCATATAAGAATTTATTAACAAGGAGAGAAAGAAAGAAAGGGAAAGAGAGAGAGGAAGAGAGAGAGAGAGAGAGAGAGAGAGAGAGAGAGAGAAGAAGGGAGAGAGAGGAGGAGAGAGGCAGAGCTCCGTGTATACACTGGGAGAGAACACAGGGAGAGAGAGCAATGGCGGGCGAGGTCAGGGGTTAAAAGGAGTGGGCGTGGCCAGGGCAGGGACCGAAAGAATAACATTAGCTGTCCTGTTTCTCATCACCTTTTCAATTACCACTAGCTGTAGCTCCCACTGAACAGCCATGGAATGTTCCTGCAAATAATACTGAGGCACAATCATGAGTATGTGTTTTCTGGGGCTGCTCCCTAGCTACAGTGGAAGCGCCGAGTGTTTGCATGAGGTTGCATCTTCCTCTGGGCCTGAATTATTTACTCTCTGGTCCATAAAGAGAGCTCGCCAACTCTTTTTCTTGCAAGCTTGATTTTAACAATTGCCTATGTAATTAAAATCTAGCTGAGGCATAATTCATTTGCTCTGTGCTGCGGGGCTCTGTATTTGTATTATTTATGTGTATTTTCAGTTTTATGGTGTTATTTGTACTTTAATATCTTACTTTAAAAAATAAGATTATGAAATTTATGAAAACAGATGACATAACATGTCTCTTTGAAATGCCAACTGTATAAACCATATCAAGTAGCAAATTGGTTTCCATGGGTCTAAACCTTCCCTACCCCAGTGTACCTTGCACCCCTTTAAGAAAGTTCTCCCTGCCGTGGGTTTGGACTAAGTGTTCCTCTTTTGAACATAGTCTGTGCTTTATCTGTACTTTATTTGTGGAACTTAGAATTTTCTATCTTGAATTTCGTTGCATAGTGTACATTGCTTATCTATCTCTCTGCTGTATATCTGATTGTTTTATAGAGGGATATGGTGATTGTAAAGGCACTGATGGAAGATAGGACACAGATGATTAAGTTATTAATTTTTAAAAGACATCATTACATTTTTAAATTATGAAGAGTGAAATTGCCTAACAGAAGCTAAAAGACAGGAGGTCCAGAGTATGGGCCAGGAAGTCTCCAGCAGTCGGAGAAACAGCTTCGGCATTGGATGAACAGGGAGCCAAAGAGCTGGAAACTGCTTCATGCGGGTGGAGGTAGGCGAATGGCAAAGAGATCACTTTCAGTTCGTGGTTTTTATTCTTTCCAGTGAAATAAAAAGCAAGATTATTTGGTAAGAATGAGGAGTGACATGGCTGAGGAAGGTCATACAACATTATAATACATTATAGAGGCGGAATAAAAAGCAGTGCGTGCATGGGTTAATTTTGTCTATGGCTACATAAAAATTATAAATTAAAATGATAGAAAGCCACTGTTTTTCACTCTGCTCTTTCATTTGGTCCTAAAAAGCGAAACCTAAAACCAGTCAGCTA